ACAGTGCTGATGAGAAGCCCTGCAGGGAATCACCATATGGAGCTTTGCCTTTGAACATTACCCAAGCCCACTCCTGTTACCTATCACCAATGGGGGTTTCTGTGGTTATTACCAATCCCCATTCTTCCTTGAGATGACAGATCATATTCTTACCCTTCCAGACCACAGCCCATGGCCATAACTCATGCAGCATGCTGCTGGGCCCCAGTCCTCTCCTGGGAAGTACTACTAATGGACAGGCTGATATCATTGGTGGAGTGGGCTTGAAGGTTCAGAAACTTAGTTACAGATGAGATGATCAAGGCTAAGCCATGAGGGACCTTACAAAAGAAGTTGGGTAATTTGTGTTTGAGGAATTGGGAAAGGGGCAGCCAGAGACTAAGTGCAAAGCAGGGAAGGAGTATACAGGTATGGTGGGGGCAGGCAGGGAAGGGGAGGTGACAGTTGTTGTATCGGAGAAGTTGGCAAGATCCTGAGCAGACAGGAGCAAGTGGCAAGGGTTTAGAGAGGAGTCAGAAGTTGTGAGAAAGTGGATTGGAGGATGTGGAGAGTTTGGCCTGTTTGAGAAGTTGTGCAGGCCCTGTAGTACCCCATTTCTAACGGACCTGTTTTATTTTGCCAACAGAAATGCCAGCCAATGCCAAAGAAGATCGTTCTTGTCTTCAGAAAGTACCTCAGATCACGATGTCTTCAGGAAATACCAGCACTTCACTCCCAAAGTCATCAGCTGCCTTTGAACAAGTTTCCTCATCCCAGCTCTCATTTGACCACTGTCCGGGTAGCAGTGACACACACCTTGAAGTCTTACTCAATTCCCACAGTCCCCTGGGAAGAGTCAGCGATATCACCCTCCTGAAAATGGGTGGTGAGGAGTCGCACTTTGAAGGGATGATTGAAGGATTTTCCAGCAAAGCCGCAGATGAACTGTTGACATCCCAGGAGATTTTACAGACTCCCCTCTCACCCATGGAGACCCAATTGTCACCTACTTCTACTGAAGGATCCGGTTTACAAATGAGCTTCACTGAATCTCCTTGGGAAACAATGGAATGGCTGGATCTCACCCCACCAAGCTCAACTACTGCCTTTGGTTCTCTCACCACTGCTGGCCCAAGCATCTTCAATATAGATTTCTTAGATGTTACTGATCTCAATTTAAATACCACCATGGACCTTCACTTACAGCAGTGGTGAAAGGAGATGGCAATAGAGAAAGGATGTGCGATAGAACTCTATATGTCCAAAGCAACCACCCCAAGTCCTCTATTAAGCAAGAGAATGCAAAGACCTGAGATTTGGCCCCAAGGGCTAATGTGCCAACTAGTCAGGGGAAACTGGAGGGGGTTTTCCAGTAAATAACTTGTACCAGTTTTCAGTCACTGAGAATTGTCAGCACAACAACTCTTACCTTTTCTTTTTTTACAATTAAACATCCTTGCAGACTTTATTGACACTTTTTACAAACGATATTTTTCTAAACCAACCTTTTTTTGAGCTTTCAGGTTTTTCCAGTTTTAGCAGCCAATCATATGAGAACTGGAGGAGCTTGTGAGATATAGTGTGGTGAGGAAAACTCATTGAGACACAGCATGATACTGTCTAGAGCAGGGCCCAAGGCAGAGTCATTGCCACCTACATCTTTCTCATCTCCTTTAGGGAATACCGCAAGGCACATCTTAATGAAGTAGGGAAAAAAAAACCCCAAAACAGCTTAGGTTGGAAATCCTAGAGGCAGCAAAGCCTGTGCACTGTGCCCCAGCACACTACTTCATTGTACAATGAAATCCACTTCACTCAGCTTATTGTCTCTGTTCCAGATAGTAACTGATCTAAAATGGCTTGGAAGGCAAGTCACCATAGTCGAGACACAGCTGTCCTGTCAAGGGTGGTGGACTGTGCCACTGGATTTGTATGATGAAACTTGTATGAGTGCATCACACATAGTCACCCCTTGAGAGTGAGTGCTAGGGAGTGGTCCGTGCCTAACAGCTACGTGTTAGATTTTAACCAAACCAGAGTCTGTGACCTCCATGCTGCTCAAGTGCTAGGGGTCCTGCTCCCTGTAGTCCAACTGCTTGGATTACTAACACCAATGTCAAAGGACGATGATGCCGAGGGCAATATAGAACTCCAGTTCCT